GTTCATATTTGGACAAGAGATAGGAACAAGCACCAATGAATGCAAACCTTTCTTAGTAGATAAATGTATGCACGTTCCAAGATGTCAATGGTTGATTGAAACATAACATATGCTAAGCATAGAGAACTAATGAGGACTCAATCCACCCTAGCTCCAACCATTCGGGCCGTGTTCTCTCCACTAGGTTCAAATCAACCCTTAAGCTAGCTTCTCATGATTCCTCGAAGGAACCGGTAAAAGAAAAAGAAATGAAAATATTGAGAAGGTAATCCCGACACCTCAACTATGCATACTCTTTCCATAGGTTTGAAGTCTATGTCCCTCCACCGTTATTTGACCTAAGCCCCCTAAAGTCTAAGGGTCTTTAATTGGTTGTAACATAAGGCTAGGGGTCAAGGAGAGGTACAAAATTTGAAAATTTTGGTGATATTTCCTAAGTGATGAAGCAAAAGGGTGATCAAACCTAAAAAACAAACTCAAGAAGTCACAAAACATCAAACAAAAATACCAATGATGCCGTCTCCCCCAAGCTTATTCAACACTAACACAGTTAATATATATACAAAAAATGAAGGAACGCTCTAATAACTCCCCCAAGCTTGAACGAAGCATTGTCCTCAATGCTTAAACAAGGGAAGAGAAACGAAACCAACTAAAATATTTTTGTGTTGTTTCTTTTCTATTTTTTTATTTGTCCTTGCCTTTTTTAAACTATGGACGGCTTTTTCTTGAAATATCATATGATTTTCTTGAATTGCATCTTTCTTCTTAAACTTTTTTGCATACTACTTTCAAGCTCAACTTTCGATACCGTACTTAAACCAATTCTCAAAATGTCTTGTTCATATTCAACACTCTCAAAACTCAAACCTCATATGCCAATGCTTCACTAACTAATAGGGTTGGTAAACATAGGCCATTAGGTTTGTAACGCGATTTAAAGAAGAGCGGGAAACATTAGGCTCAAATCGGTTAAGAAGTAGGTTGATGCAAAATAGAAAACCAAATTTGTAACAAAATAAAAAGAAGATACAAAGAAAAATGAGAAAAGGTGCCCTTTTCCTCCCCTAGAGTGGCTCGGTCACGATTTTGGAAGCTAGAGGTCAAAACAAGGATTAAGACATGCATAGTTAAGGATCCTAAATTGCCGCTCAACAAGGTGATGAAGGCTAGAACAAATGGAGCTCACAAGGGATTATAACCAAACAAATACCAACTAAGGGTTTTAAATCCGCTATAGAGAGCAACTCCATCTTACCACATTCTCGTGAACTAAGGCTTCATGGACCCCTAAAAGCTCTTAAACCGACTACCTTAGCATATAGTATCCTAGGGTCAACCAATGACACTCTCAAACCGTGCACACATTTACCACTTAGGAAGAAAAACATTCAAGGATTCAAGTCCCAAAACAATATGTCCAAAACAAGAATTAACAAAACACATTGTTGCCAAAATTACTTTGAATGTAAACAAAATCTTTTTGGATTTTTCAAAATATCAGAAAAGACATGGAAATGCATATACTCAAGTGCACGCATATATGACTCAACATCCCATCAAACATGATAGAATACCCCTCCCAAGCTTGAATGACACAATATGCTCAAACATAAACCAAAGAGTCCATGGGAGGGGAAAAGAAAGAGATCAACCCAACCAACCAACACATGTCCAACAAGTCACCAACCATTAGAGATAGAGCTAGGAAAGATATTACTGGATATTGGTGGGTGTAAATACTCGCAAATGACCCAATTTAACCTTTCAAAGCCAATTTTCTCTTGAATAGGCATCAAACTTCCTTGATTCTTGATACAAACCAATGTATAAGAGTATATCAAGTAATGTATCTAGCAAGGGAAACACAACTATTTCTATGAGAGAAAATATAATCTAAAAAGAAAAGAAAATGAAAACAATAAAAAACCTTGGGTTACTTCCTGAGAAAGGCTTGTTTAACGTCCAAGCAAGACCGCTCTAGTAAATAATATTGCAACGAATGCAAGAGCTTATCAAATGCATTACTACACATTTCATAGGATAACAAGTAGGCAAATGAAGGAAGGAGAACGTGCAACAAGATTATTGCACCTAAGTGAGGAAGAAGATGCCAAACAAAGGAAGAAAAATCAAAAGAAAAATCAAGAAATAAGAGGAGAAACAAAAAGAAAAATAAGGCAAACTCTCCTCAAAATCTTTTTGGGTGGTACAATCACCCATTTTCTCAATAATTAGAGAATGAGAGGAAAGAGTCTCATAAAAGAAGAGAGGATCCTCAATAAGCTTTAAGCTAAAAGAGGGGAGGAACATAGGATAGTTAGGGATATGTTCAAATTTTTTTTGTAAAAGGGACATGAGGAAGGGAAGGAGAAACAATGGTCTCACAAAGCCTCACATCACTAATAAGGGCATGAAAATCAATCATAGAATCCTCAAAAGAACACTCATGACTCATATCTCCCTCAAACAAAAACTCTCTAATAGAAACAACCTCATCCTCCTCTCTATCCCAACTATGAACAACAACTCCCTCAAGATCCTCAAAGCCTAGAGTCTCTAAACCATGCATGAAAGGATATAGGTTTCTCTCAAACTCACCCTTTTCCTATGAGGCATTGCCAATGAACTCTCTCAAAAGTCTATAATTCTTTGTTACTCCTTCAACGAATATACTTGAAATGGCCTCAAAAGAGTCCAAAGACTCATGGATAGAAGAGTCACAAGCATGCAAAGTAAACTCATCAAGATGGGGAAGGGGGTTGGAATCCTCAACATTGACATTCTCTTTATTCTCAACTCCTCCACCACTATTCAAGGGACTCTCAATCTCTCTTGGTAGCTCAAACTCACCATCATCATCCTCATGAACTCCCTCATTCAAATATGAAGATGGCTCACTCACATCCTAACCAAGGTAAGCTCTCAAATGGGGTGAATAAGGGGAAGGATGGCATTCAAGCTCAAATGGGGAATGAAAAGGATCAAAATCCTCTCATCATAAGGAAATATCCCCTCACCTTCACACCCTTGGCCCGCATCATCCTCAAAAATACTCTTACACTCCAAGTAAGGAGCATTACATCCATATAAATCAATCATAACACTCACTTCTCTCAATTTTTGTTCCTCTTGAAGCTCTTGGAGTTGTTGGATGAGACATTACATTTGAGAAAGAATTTGGGCATCAATGTTATCGGGTTGAGGTTCATGATCAAAATAAAATTTCATATCATCAAAATTAGCACAAACCTTATCACAATGAGCGTAAGAGGGAAAGGGGTCAAAATGCATATTTAGATCATCACAAGGCACATTAGAAGTATCAAGAGAATTCATGCAAAAATTAAAAGAATCTTGGCATTGAGAATCAAAACAAGAAACATGACATTCTCTATCATAAGAATCTCTAGCAAGCCAAGTGAAGAAATTCCAAGCATCATGCATAGACAAATGATGGAATCTACCATTGTGCATATTCTCAACCATTACCCTAGTATACTCATTCATGCCCCAATAAGCTATTCCACAAGCATCACTAAGAGAACACCCATAGTAACTGTACCAAGGAAACCATCTAATCTATCAAAGTAAGCAAAGAAGGGTTCATCATCAAATTGAGGAAAAAATAAGCATGCCATTTTTATACAAAGAACAAAGAAAAGCAAACAAAAATCAAATAATATACAAGAACCTAGCTAATCTAACCAACACAAACAAATGAACGGCTTAGTCCCCGAAAACGGCGCCAAAATTTGATCGAAGGTGAAAGTAGGTCGTTAGGACTACTAACCCTAACCAAATTAGAAATTTATAAAACCTAAACTTACATAAACTAGTTAGTGGCAAGTAAAGGGTCGATCAACGAAGACTAAGTGTATCAATCTATGCTAATTAGACTACTAGGAAAGGTTGTGAGATAGAGAGAGAAGCAACTAAACACTACTCAGAGCAAACAACTAAAACTAGGGAAAGTGGAATCCAATTACATGAATGCATTCAACAACATCATACAATTAGATGAAAATGACCTCGATTAGGAACAATCAACATACTGAACTCACTCTCGCACGATTAAGCATGTTAATTATCCTACTAAGCTAATTCACTCTCGTGCAACAAGCCTAGCTAGCAAAGGTATGGAAGAATTAAAGGCTCTCAACCAACTCACTTTCGCATAATTAATTGAAAGCACAATTAAGAGTATAGAATCAATTAGCTAGAAAGATTCTAAACCATACAATCATCCTCCATACACAATAATCAAGAAACAATTTCATACTAATCACAATCAATCATTCAATTCATTAACATAACCTTCACCCATTTCCCTAGAACAAAATCTAAGCTAACATGATGAACAAAAACAAGGAAAACAAGGTAAAACAAGAATAAAAGAAAGAATTAAACAACTAGACTAATTAATCTACTCAAATCAACAAACAAATAGGAAAAAAAAATAATAAATGAAAGTAATAAAGGTGAGAGAAAGTTAGGAAGACTCATTGAATAGATGAGAAGAAGATTCCACAAATTGCTTCTTTAAAATCCAAAACTCAATAAAATATCCAAGCTTTCTCTATGTAAAACTACTCCAAAACTAGAAAGAGAAATAAAAGAAAAGAAAAGAAAATAAAGAAAAGAAAAGGAAATAGAAAAATAAATAAAAATAAAGTTATAAGAAAATAAAAAGGAAAAAGAAAACTAAAATCCCCCAAAATCCCATCAGACCCACGCATTCCACCCATTTCATGGCTTCTCTAATTTCGTCATCATCGAACAACCATTGTCACCACTGATGAGTGTCATTTATGGAACTCATAGGGTAGTCTTTTAGGATGACTTCATCTTCCTTTTTATGCTTTCTTATCTTATTTTTGGTCCTTTTTCCTTTAATTCCTTTCTTTCTTTCTTTCCTTGTGTTTTTCGTGTTTTCTTCATGTTTTCCTTTTATTTGGTGCTTTTTCCCTTTTATTCCTTTTCGTTGTTTGTTCTTGTAGGTACCTAGGATTAGTCTTTGCAAGGGAATCAAGATGGGCTATATTAACTAAGCAAGGAGGAAATAATCGGCTTGGAGAGGGCTCAGAGAGGGCATGGAGAGAGCATCAAGCCCTACCAGTCCGCCGCGGGTGCGGGTACTGAAGGCCGCGGGCGCGGGCTCATATGCACCAAATTGGCAGATTTTGACCAAGAACTCTCCGCGGGCTTTCCACGGGCTTGCCGCGGGTAGTTTTGAGAGCTCGCTCGTACCAGAGAGACCGCGACCCTCTGATCACCCTTTGGGAGCAGGGGATTCTCCACGCTTTTGCCGCGGGCGTGGGTGCTTTTGCCGAGGGCGCGGGTTAGAAGACCCGCGGGCACGGGTGTTGCACAGAAAGCCCGTGGAGTTTTTAGTGGGTTCAATACCCATTTTTCCGCGGGCGCGGGGTTAATAGGAGAGGGCGCGGGAATCCCGTTTTTCTTCTTTGCCTATAAATACACTTGTAATTCCTTTTTGAAGATAACTTTTAGATAATTTTCATTAGCTTAATTTTAGAGAGAGAAGTTAGAGAGAAGTTCTTGGTATTGGATTTGTATTTCAACATTAGATCAATTGTGCTTGGATTTCTTCATTTTCAATCATTAATGTTAGTAAGATTTTCTTCTTCTAGTTCATCTCTTACTTGATTGATTTAGTTTCATCTTTGATTGCTTGTATTGCTTGGATTTGAATTGGATATTGTAGTTGATATTTCTTTATCTTGATTTTGATTTAGAATGATGATCAATGCTAATTCTAGTGATTTGTTCTTGAGTTACACCATGATTAGTGAGTAGATTAGTTGCTAGGGAAAGGGGAAGCATGCTTGATTGATAATTTGTGCTAGTTGATGATCTTTGATTGATAAGATTGTTGCAATTAAATTGGTTGACATAGTTTTGCATGTGATTAATAAGATTAGGAATGATAAACCTATAAGATTAATCTAGATTGCATTGCATTTCTTAATGACATGACCATCAATTTGAGAATTGCTTTAATTGATTGAGTTTGATTGTGAATTTCCTTGATTAGCCATTCATAGTGACCCCTAGTTTGGCCTCTAGGAGATAGCTCTTGAATTCTCTTGATTGCTACTATTGTCTGTCCATTGCAATGCTTGAATCAATCAAAGAAATTGTCGATTAGCACGATTATTGAATTAGCATGTGGAACCAATATCCCTAGCATTTAGCTTATTGAATTACTTGATTAGTCTAATTTTGCTATCATAACACCAACCATTTTCTCACTTCAATCTCCGAAATAGCTTGATTTAGGCTAAAGATAACACCAACTAACTCCTTTGGGTTCGACCCTATACTTACCTATACTTGTTTTAAGTTGGTTTAGGATTTTATAAATAGTGTTTGATTTTGGGATAGGCAATTAACGACTAGTTTATTCCTCTATCAAAATGGCGCCGTTGCCGTGGAGTGAAATTGGTGCTTAGCTTTAGTTGTTGAGTCTATTTCATTTTAATTGAAAAAAATAAAATAAAAATAAATACAAAAAGATTTTGTTTCTTAAGGCTACATTTGTAGCTGTGCTACTAATATTTTCATTGAGTTTTGCATGCATAGAGCTCGTGATCGGTCCATTGTGCCTTTTGACCCGGAAATCGAAAGGACTCTTTCAAGGAGAAGAATTGCTAGTCGATCCTTTGAATTTAGTTCTTCAAGCGAAGAATGATTTGAAGAGGAACTAGGCATGGGAGATCAACCAAGAGTTGCTTTGAAAGAATTGGGAATTCCCGGTGCGTACAAGTTTGAGAGTGGAATTGCTCCACCTACAACACCGACAAATGACTTCAAAATTAAGCCGGATATGATCGCTTTGATCGAAAGGAGACAATATAGCGAAGCTAAGAATGAGAGTCCGTTGAACCATCTCAAAGAGTTCGAAAAGTATTGCAACACTATCAAAGTGAACGAAGTTTCTCAAGAATTCATCCGGCTAAAGTTGTTTCCATTTTATCTCATAGGACGAGCCTTGGAGTGGTTGGATAAGGAGGTAAAGACAAATTCCCTTCGAACATGGGACGAAGTCACCAAGGAATTCTTGTCCCGATTCTACCCACAAAAGAAAACGGCGGAGGCTAGAGCTTTGGTTCAAGGGTTCAAGCAAAGACCTAATGAAAGCCTCTACGAAGCATGGGAGAGGTATAAAGAGTACCAAAGGGAATGTCCCCACCACGGAATTCCAACCTATCAAGTCATTCAAATTTTCAATGGTGGCCTAAGTCCTCAAGGAAAATCATACCTTGATGGGGGTGCCGGAGGTCCCATAATGAATCGGACGGAAGAGGAAGTGGTGGACATTATAGAGGACATGGTTAAGTACTATAGAGATTGGCAAGATGGTGAGAGGGATTCAACTAGAAAGAGTGGCTATTCGGTGTACTCTATAGACCATCTAAATGCGATCAACAACTTATCCTCACAAATGACAAACTAGGGGAAAGAAATGACCGCGATCAAGGCAAAGTTAGAAGGCTCCTTTTCTTCTCAAGATTCGAATTCTCCCTCCCAATTTAAGCGGATAGGTACCTTTTCTAACTCTCAACCCCCTCCCTCTTCAAATAACATGCCTAGTGGTTGCTTGTTTTGTGATGCATGTGGATCTTATGATCATGACTCTTGTAATTGCTCTCATGCTTATCCGGAATGTGGTGATGATTTTGATAATAGTGAGAGTGAGCATGTGAATTATGTGTCAAGTAATAATGTGCAAAGGTTTGATAATCAAAGAAGTCAATGGAATAGGAATTACCAAAACCAAGGTAATTTTGACAACTATAACCAAGGTGGTGGTTATAGGAACCAAGGGAACCAAAGTTCTCTTGCAACTATAACAATCAAGGTTATAGTAGTCAAAATCAAAACCAAAATTATGGTAATCCAAACCAAAGTTATGGAAATCATAACCAAGGTAGTGGAAACCATAATCAAGGTTATGGTCAAAATCAAAATAGGGGTAATTGGAACAATCAAGGTAGGGGCAATTTTCAAAATAATTCTCAAAGAGGTCCCCCACCTAGATTTGTTCCAAAGACTCAAGGTGAAAATTCCTATTCACAATCTTCTTCTTCTAGGGCCAATTTGGAGGAAATAATTGAAAATCAAACCAAGTTTTTGAACACATATATGGCCGTTAGTGACAAGAAGTTCAATGAAATGATGACCCACAATAAAATGCTCGAAAACCAAATTTTTCAACTTGCTAGTGCTTTGAAAGACCAAGAAAGCCCTTCTTCTTTACCTTCCCAAGGCCTAGATCCCAAGAAACCCGTGAATGCTATTGTTACAAGGAGTGGTAAGGTTCTTGAGGAGAGATTCCCTAGGAGGAGTGATAACAAGGAGGTCCCCAAGGAAGTTTTGGTTGAGAATGAGGGAAGTAGAGCATCTTTAGATGAGGTTGTGGTTGAGACACCAAGAGAGGTGAGAGTAGAGAAAGAGATTGTGAAACCCAAGCTCCCTTATCCCCAAAAATTCACGAGACACAAATTAGATGAGCAATTTGGGATATTTATTGATATGCTTAAACAACTTCACCTTTCTCTACCTTTCACCAATGTGATCAACCAAATTCCTAATTATGCCAAATTCCTCAAAGACATTTTGAGCGGAAAGAGGACTTGTGATGTTGTGGAGACAATCAATTTGACTGAAAATTGTAGTGCGATCATCATGAACAAAATGCCACCCAAGTTGAAGGACCCCGAAAACTTTTCCATCCCTTGTGCTATTAACAAGATGCAATTTCATAATGCCTTATGTGACTTAGGAGATAGTGTAAGCTTAATGCCATATTCGGTTTATCAAAGAATTGATCTAGGGGAACTCTTACCTTCTAACATTACCTTGAAACTAGCCGATAGGTCAATCAAGTTTCCAAAAGGTAAAGTGGAAGACGTTCCATTGAGCGTTGGGAAGTTTGTGTTCCCGGTGGATTTTGTTGTTTTTGAAATGGATGAAGATGCTACCATTCCAATTATTCTAGGTAGACCCTTTCTTGCTACCTCGGGTGCTATGATAGATGTAAAGTGTGCAAAGATTTCCCTTAAGGTAGGAGATGAGGTCATAGAATTCAATTTGAATGAAAGCATGAAATATCTAACTTCTTCTCTTGAAAATTGCATGATGATTGACTCTCTTGATCATGTTGTGTCTTCCATGCATGAGCACTTTCTCACCTCTAACGATGCTCTTGAGAATGTTTTGTTGAACAAAGACAAGCTAGGTGTACCATTCAAGGAGGTAGCATTGTATGAGGAATTGCTTAATGGAAGCATGGAGGAAGTGGATGAACAATTGTGCTTAAAGATCTCAAGCCATGAAGCTTTGCAAGCGGCCGCAACAGAAGAAGGTAAAGGTGTGCCTATGGTAGAGCTCAAACCTCTACCAACACACCTTAGGTATGAATTCTTAGGCCCAAATTCCACTTACCCCGTAATTGTTAGTGAATCCTTGAGCGAGAGCCAAGCTCAAGCGTTATGTTGTGTCTTGAGAAAGCACCAAGGTGCTTTGGGCTATACTATTGATGATCTTAAAGGTATAAGCCCCGCTTTGTGTACACACCACATAACGCTTGAGGAAGTCACCCTTCCTTCTATTGAACGACAAAGAAAGCTACACCCTCAAATAGGAGAGGTGGTGAAAAAAGAGATCACCAAGCTATTGGATGCGGGAATCATATTCCCCATCTCAAGCTCTAGGTGGGTTTCTCCCGTTCATATCGTTCCTAAGAAGGGGGGTATGACCGTAGTCAAGAATGAGAGTGGTGAGCTCATTCCAACTAGGACAGTCACCGGTTGGAGGATGTGTATAGACTATAGACGTCTAAATACATCCACCAAAAAGGATCACTTTCCCCTTCTATTCATTGATCAAATGTTAGAGAGACTAACAAGGCACAAGTTCTATTTCTTCCTTGATGGCTATTCGGGATTTTTCCAAATTCCAATCCACCCTGAAGATCAAGAGAAGACAACATTTACATGCCCCTATGGGACCTTTGCCTATAGGAGAATTCCCTTTGGCCTTTGTAATGCCCCCCAACTTTCCAAAGATGCATGATGAGCATTTTTGGAGACATGTTGGAGAAAGAAATGGAGGTATTTATGGATGATTTCTCCGTAGGTGGGGTTTGATTTGAAGAGTGCCTAGTTAATCTTGAGAAATGTTTGGCTCGGTGTGTAAAGGTTAATCTTGTCTTGAATTGGGAGAAATGCCATTTCATGGTGGAGGAAGGGATAGTGCTTGGGCATAAGATCTCTCATAAAGGAATAGAGGTGGATAAGGCCAAAATTGAGGTTATTGAGAAGCTTCCACCTTCGGTGAATGTCAAGGGAGTGAGATTATTTTTGGGTCATGCGGGCTTCTATAGAAGATTCATCAAGGATTTCTCACTCATTTCCAAGCCCCTTAATGATCTTATTCAAAAAGATGTTGAGTTCATTTTTGATGATAAATTCTTGGAAGCATTTAATAGATTGAAGAAGGCCCTAATCTCTACCCCCATTGTTCAAGCCCCAAGATGGG